TAGATACGATTGGACAAAACAAATACAGTGCAGCACGAACTGTTTTTATACAGTCTATGAGCACGGTGTGCAGAATGATGCACTTGAAGCCTGAAGCAACCTGGCTGCGCACATCGTAAGCGCTTCGTGTTAAAAACTGCACAAAGGGAAGAGACATTGATGCGTAGTGTATTATATCTGTGCAACAGTTATTGAGCCTTTCTTTTAACAGTTTTAAATTTCAGTTACTGTGCACGTTAAAAACTATTTATAGTCTTTTCTATGCCCGTGTTTTGTTCTCACAGACACCCGGTAGCAAGTAACAAAACAACATTAAACTCCGGCAAGAAGATAAAGTCCTTTTAGCAAAATCATAGACATGTATTTACAAATCCAGTATAATGTGAACACAGAATGATCTTGGAGAGAGCTTTACCGAGCTGACTGCTGTAACCAAACGCGAGCAGGGTTTAAAGGCTGAACGGATGACTGACAGCCACAGCAGAGAAAAGAGTTTGTGTGAACTTTAATGTAAGGACTTAAATATTCATATGCAGCTCACAGATCGCTTTTATTTAGTTTTTCCTGTTTTATTCAAAATATTCACAAACATGCTCACTATATTATGAAATATCTGATATTCCGATTCTGAAATATGTGCAATTAAATCTATTTGGTAACGTTAATTCAAACACTTTTATATTGACCGTGTTAGTTGATCTATACCGGGTGATGGGCGCCGCCATGTTAGTTCGCGCTGCATCTGAGCTGTGGGATTTACAACACGCAAATTCATCCTCTCCTTCCGAAACACATTAAAGTAGATCTCCGGTAAACTGAGAGAAGAGCAGAGTAAACTTTATAATTATCCACACAATCTGTATATGATATCAATAAAAACATGTCGTCAGATTATATTTTTAAGGATGATTATTGCTGTTTCCATAGACATCAGCGTGTATTTTACAAACTGTAAATGTATGGTTTTGCTAGTACTTATGTGTATTTAAATGTCTGAAACCTAAAATAAGTATTATATGGTTGAAAACACTGAATATTTTTGATAATATGCCAGCAAGAGCGCGAAAGCGGATTTAAATTCAGCGGTTGATGACGTGACTCACTGAAAGTTCTACTTCATTACGCTTCAGGGACCAGCCAAGACCGATCACACCAGTGCGATCGTACGCTTCAGGGACCAGCCAAGACTGATCACACTGGTGTGATCGGTCTTGGCTGGTCCCTGAAGCGTACGATCGCGCCGGTGTGATCGGTCTTGGCTGGTCCCTGAAGCGTACGATCGCGCCGGTGTGATCGGTCTTGGCTGGTCCCTGAAGCGTACGATCGCGCCGGTGTGATCGGTCTTGGCTGGTCCCTGAAGCGTACGATCGCGCCGGTGTGATCGGTCTTGGCTGGTCCCTGAAGCGTACGATCGCGCCGGTGTGATCGGTCTTGGCTGGTCCCTGAAGCGTACGATCGCGCCGGTGTGATCGGTCTTGGCTGGTCCCTGAAGCGTACGATCGCGCCGGTGTGATCGGTCTTGGCTGGTCCCTGAAGCGTACGATCGCGCCGGTGTGATCGGTCTTGGCTGGTCCCTGAAGCGTACGATCGCGCCGGTGTGATCGGTCTTGGCTGGTCCCTGAAGCGTACGATCGCGCCGGTGTGATCGGTCTTGGCTGGTCCCTGAAGCGTACGATCGCGCCGGTGTGATCGGTCTTGGCTGGTCCCTGAAGCGTACGATCACACCGGTGTGATCGTACGCTTCAGGGACCAGCCAAGACTGATCACACTGGTGTGATCGTATGCGTTAAAGGGTTAACACAGAATAATTTGCACAATCGAAAAAAATAAAATTTCGGATTTGGATCGGCTCTCTCTTACCGATACCCGATCCGAGAAAAATGGCACTATCGGAGCCGATACCCAATATGAATATCGGATCGGCGCATCCCTAGAGAAAATCACTCAGTTCTTAATTTGAATAACGTTAGCTTTAATAAGCATTAATCTATCAAATTATACAGTGAAAACTATGCAGTGTTATTTTACATTTGCTTATTTAATTATATTGCTTTTGTAAAATGCATTACTTATTGGAACAGTAATGTTAGCAGATCTCCATGAAAAAAATCATGCACTGTTTATTTCATTTGTATCTTTGTTTTATTGTATTTGTCAGTTTGTTTTGCTTTATTTCTTTGTTAATTTTCTTACTGTATCTTATACCCATCCCTAGTTAAGATACAAATATTAAACATTTATGAAAAGTGCTTTTCTTACCTTGAATATCCATTGGAGATTTTCTTTGAAAACCTTGTGGTTCCTGTTAGCCCGAACATCTGAATGTATTGTCTTACGTTGAACACTGCTAGTAAATAAAATAAAATACTGTATTTCTAGGTAAAACATTAAAGAAATCTCTTGTAAATATTTTGTTTTAAGAAAGAGAACAACGAAAGCATCAGCTGTTTCAGGTAAATTTTAAAGTGTAGAATCTGTGTACATAATTTTTGTTGCATTGTGGTACAGATTTTAATGAAAGGAAAAAAATAGGTCTGTTATTATAATATTTTCTGTCATGTAAACAAATAAAGCAGTGGCTAAGAGTGGCCTTTTAAAGCATTGCTCTTTGTGAGAACAAGTATAGTTATATGTCAAATAAAACATACAATGTGAATACTTTGGTAAATATTTAACTATATGATAAACATTCACTGATTTATTTTCTGTAACAGAAATCCATGAAATACCTTTTGGCAGATGATGGAGTTTTCTCACTGAAGTTTGGTGGCTTCTCTCTTGAGCAGTCACTCTTCACAGACACAGAGCTGGACACACGTGATCCTGCTCTTACACTAATGACACAGAACACATGAGGGGAAAACACTGACTGTGGAATCTGCACAATATTTGTCCTAAATGTAACCATTTTAATATTAATTTTAGAAATTAGTATTGCACATGAAATACCTTTTGGCAGATGATGGAGTTTTCTCACTGAAGTTTGGTGGCTTCTCTCTTGAGCAGTCACTCTTCACAGACACAGAGCTGGACACACGTGATCCTGATCTTACACTAATGACACAGAACACATGAGCGGGAAACACTGACTGTGGAATCTGCACAATACTTGTCCTAAATTTTGAATATGTATTAATTAATTCTAATAATTTTGTTTTAATCTGTGACTATGTAAAAACATGTAGGTAGTTTAAAAGTTTAAAAAGTAGAATTTGCAAATCTAAATCAATGCATAAGATTTTATTGTAGAGAGGATAAATCTGAAGCTGGAGCAGTGTTTAAAGTGCCTCAGTGTCACCTGTGTTTCTGTGAGAGACGGGTCTCTGTTCCTCGCTCCTCTGACATACTGCAGCTGAACTGATCTGCACTGGCTGAGAACACACTCAGCTGCTCAGTGTCACCTGTGTTTCTGTGAGAGACGGATCTCTGTTCCTCGCTCCTCTGACATCCTGCAGCTGAACTGATCTGCACTGGCTGTGAACACACTCAGCTGCTCAGTGTCACCTGTGTTTCTGTGAGAGACGGATCTCTGTTCCTCGCTCCTCTGACATCCTGCAGCTGAACTGATCTGCACTGGCTGAGAACACACCTGCAGATGAACAACATCACACTTATTCAGGAACATCAAGAAGAAACCTGAGTCACACAAAATAACTCTAGCAAATCAACTGATTACAGACATATATTACACTGTAGCACACAAAGATCTCAATCATTTCAGATCCTCTAATGACAAGTTCAGGAAATAGATATTAGCCAAGTGTGTTCCCTGTTGTGTTGCAGTTTATTATTTATCAGCCTAAAACTTCAGAAACGTTCGTTTTTTAAAACTCCTTCCCAGAAACGTTATGCTTTAACAGTATTTTCTGACAGGTTCTTCATCAGAGTAACAGCCTGTGAAAAACTGAAGAACAGGCCTTAACTTCACATTTAAATCACGCTCACACAGACAGTACGAAACACATAGCCCAAATAATGGAGAAGAAATGAAATGTACTTGCAGTTGTGAGCACAAGGAAGAGAATGTAGAAATATCTGAAGCACTATTTTTCTGTCCTTTACTGTTGTTGTTTGTCCCGTCAGACCAGCTCGTATTTTGGTTTCGTTTTCGTCTTCTTCTGGTTTTATCTGGCCGTTCTCGAACAGATGAACAGGTTCACAGCGACACCTGCTGGACTGGAGCCTGAATTTCTCTTTTATATTTCTAAAGGTTTAAAATCTGATTTTAACACTGCAGTTTTATTGTCCCAGTTTCTGGATTATTATCTAAGATGCCTGACATCCTGTTTGTATCGTTTTATGCTTCCTGATATGGATCACATAAACCTGTATTATTATGCTTCTGCTGTTTGAAAGTGATGTGTTTCTTTACATCTTTCTTTTCAGGCTTTCTCTTCTTTGGCTCCTAAATTGTGAAATTCCCTGCCCTCTGAGATTAGGAATGCAGAATGCCTTAGTGTTTTTAAATCGTCCCTTAAAAATTACTTTTATAGGGTAGCTTTTATGTGATTTATGTGAATACTTTGTCTGTTATTATATTAACTTTGTATTGTTTCGTTAGACTTTACTGCAGGTACTGTTGTGTGTATCTTTTAACTTCATATTTTTATATATATGTAAAGCGCTTTGAGATGCTACTTTTAAAGGCGCTATATAAAATAAAGTGTATTATTATTATTATTACATCAACATTAGCTGACTTGCATTGCCTTATATAGCTACAGCGTATTAAATATATCCAGCTGTTTTAAGCAGCATGCCATCTGTTTATCTTCTTTGCTAACTTCACTAACACTCTTTCAGATTCATAAGGTTCAGGCTAAGGTTCAGGTTTAGGGGCTAGTCTGGGGCTGGGGCTGGCAGGGTTAAGGTTCAGGTTTAGGGGCTAGTCTGGGGCTAGCATGTTTAAAGTTGGTTGATCAGGGGTTAGTGAATTAAGGCTAGTGGTTAGTGAGGCTAGGGCTAGGTTAGGTTTTGAAAAATTACAACAGCTCCCCCCGACCTAGCACCCGTCTAGGAAGGTTTGGAGTAGGGAGACTGAGGATGCGTGCACGGGCCTACGCCTGTTAGACTATACCAGGAAAGCATTGATCCCTCTCCTTTCCAGGAGAACAGCCTATTTGGGCGTTGGGCTGAGAATGTGGAGGACCAGGAGGTAGGGAGATTGAGAAAAGGATATTCCTGTTGGTTTTGTTTTGTTCCCTTCTAAGAGATTAGCCTAACTGGGCGTTGGATATTCGGTTTGGGAAGGCTAGGTTTCAGGTCCATAAGTCTACGAACGGTTGGTTCAGTGCTAGATTTCGATCTCAGGGGTTAGTGAATTAAGGCTAGTGGTTAGTGAGGCTAGGGCTAGGTTAGGTTTTGAAAAATTACAACAGCTCCCCCCGACCTAGCACCCGTCTAGGAAGGTTTGGAGTAGGGAGACTGAGGATGCGTGCACGGGCCTACGCCTGTTAGACTATACCAGGAAAGCATTGATCCCTCTCCTTTCCAGGAGAACAGCCTATTTGGGCGTTGGGCTGAGAATGTGGAGGACCAGGAGGTAGGGAGATTGAGAAAGGATATTCCTGTTGGTTTTGTTTTGTTCCCTTCTAAAAGATTAGCGTGTCTAGGGTTAGGGTTAGGTTTTGAAAAATTACAACAGCTCCCCCCGACCTAGCACCCGTCTAGGAAGGTTTGGAGTAGGGAGACTGAGGATGCGTGCACGGGCCTACGCCTGTTAGACTATACCAGGAAAGCATTGATCCCTCTCCTTTCCAGGAGAACAGCCTATTTGGGCGTTGGGCTGAGAATGTGGAGAACCAGGAGGTAGGGAGATTGAGAAGAGGATATTCCTGTTGGTTTTGTTTTGTTCCCTTCTAAGAGATTAGCCTAACTGGGCGTTGGATAAATAATTTGACTGTGGCTCTCTACATCACCCAGACTCATGATGGAGGCCTTACG